TTAGAGCATTTATTAGAAGATTGTAGAAATACTAAAGAATAATTATTTGATTTTCTTCAAAAGAATAAAATTTATTATTATATTTGATATAAAATATTTTATTACCGAAACATTTAAAAATAAAAAATGATGATTATTATTATTATTATTATTGTCATTATTTTATTTTGACATTATACTATAATTTGTAAAGTAATTGATTAATAAACATGATATTATCTTCTACTTTTATATATTAATGGCTAGTTGTTGAAATCATATAGCATATATAGATTCAAAATAATTTATTTGATACGAGAAACACATACACACACACATATATGAATATATATATATATATATATATATATGTATATATATTACTGAGATAGAACATGGCCACTAAATAATTTTTTCATAAATTTTATTTATCAAAATTTGGAGTTTAAAAGCTTTGTGATCGGAATTTCTTTTATAAATCAATTTTCGAAATTTAAATCCATTACCACTTAATTTTTCAGAATTTCTATGCCTATATTTTTAATTGATGTAATTAAGTTTTTATGCTTATTTTTTGGTAGGAATGATCACTTGAGGAGGCAGAATTATAGATACCATCTGTAAGTCTTTGTGACAAATCAATTTTTCTTTTGGTTTTGGTGGAAAATAAAACTATGTTGTGAGAATCAAAGTACTTATTTGTTTCTATAATTGTATTTTTATACTTTTTATTTATAATATTTTTGATATGGTAAGCACTAAAAAGTAGACAATAAAATCATGCAAAAAATGATATTCCAAAGACAATATCAAATTGAGAGAAAGTAATATGCAACATCAAAATTGCTTTGATGTTTTCAAGAGAAGTGAATATGCATCAGCAAGTGAAGGTCTGAAGAATCTCGCCATCGCCGATCCCGCGACGAGGCCAAATCTTGCCAGCCAAGGTTCCAGGAGCCAAATGAGGATGGATTCATGATAGCTCAAGATAGCTCTGAATCTCGCCTCCCCACCATTGCATATCGCCCCTGCCCTACTGCACCAGCACGTTCACCACACGCCCATGCTCGCTCTCAACTCCTCACGTCGACGAAAATTTGAGGCAAAACTTCTTTTTTGAGTGTTGGGTGTTGTTGGTGTGGAGGTGGATCACCGTCTGATGTTACGTCTGAGAGGGTACTGTAACTGCCCTGCGTGGGTACTTCTTTCGACATGAGACGGCCGCATTTCTCGAGCTGTTCGAAATTCGTACACGACGTTTGGAAAACCTTTGAGGAAACTGTGGCTGTGTCGTTGGCAAGTCTTGTCCCTTTGCTCGGGGCCCACGGCTTCTTTCATCCACCGCTGCACTGGATGTAGCAACTTTCTCGTATCGACCCGTTTGGATTTGTACCAATTTTGGTTTGCAGTCCCCAACGGCTCGCCGACATGCGTGGTGCGTTGCAGGAAGTCGCGCGGGAGTGTGTATGTTTTGAGGAACCGAGGTTGTGCTCAGTGGTTGCCGCCGTCGTTGCTTCTTGGCATCAATTTCGTTTGTTGTTGCATTATTGCTTCGCTCTAATGTGCGAGAACGTGAGAGGCGTATACCGTGGTGGATATGTTCAGCGTTGAGGTTGTGTGTCGAATGGTCCAGGGAATTCACGTTTCAGTATCCTCTGATAACGTCTTTCGATTCTAGTTAATGGTCAAGTGAAAGCTGCATTGTGTTCTCTACCAAGCCAGCACGATGAGGGCAGAGGAGTGCGCAGGGGAGTATATGAGTCCGCTGGTGAAGCAGGATCTTGCCAAAACTGGAAAAGACGGCGAGAGTCGTCGTGTGCCCTCTCACGCGCTCAGTCAAGAAGTGGAGAAGCTGGAACTTGGTTCTATCCCTCAATTCCTGGCCCAGGTGAGGCTTTACTGCTGTTCATGCACTGATCACCGCCCTTCACATTGTCATGCGACCGATCACTCTGTCTACCATTTTCACAGCATAAAGAGCCAGAGGTTCGAAGTTCTGGATTTTAGATCGACCTTGTTTGCTGTTTCGATTCCCCCGCCTTAAGTCTCTCAGCTAGAGAGTTGGCCTTGAAGTAGTGCGCGTGACCCTTGAGGTAAGCATGTCAGGTAGAGCTTTCAGTGTTTGCGAAGGTTTTGCCTTTGAACTCGCATTGTACCTTCTACACCGCGTAGGTGTAAAATCACCTTGCACTAATTTTTCTTGTCAAAATTTAACACCATTATACGACACACCGCATCACTACTATTCCGAAATTGCCCTGTTGTTCTCGTAATCGCAGTTTTAATCTTTTGGAGCAGATTTGAGGGGATTCTCTGAAAATTCTCTGAAGATTTTGGGTTTGCATTACAGGTTTCCGAGTCAATAGACACTGAAGGCTCGCGCTTAAACGCTTTAGTCCTTTACGAAGAGGTCGCACGAGTCCACGGGAAGCTTATCATTCCGCATATTGGCCAGCTTATGGCTACTGTGACTCGTTCACTGTCTTCGAGCGGGAATTCACCAGATTTACACCAAGCTTGTGCCAAAGCGGCTACGGCTTGGGTTCGTTATTCCGTTGACGCGGACACAAGCGTAGCTGATGCGGGAGAAATTCTCAAGGAGGTCTCCCGACCGTTAGTCGATCTACTAGCAGGTGGTTTTCCGCTAGCACATTGTGTTTTATCCTTGTATCAAGGAGAGTGGTACTGTTGTAGTTTGTGTGGAAATAGTGATTAGTTCACATTGTGTTGAGGCTTATCTTGTGATATTGGAGGTTGCCTTGTATCGTGTAGGCAATTTGGAGCATGTGGTGGCGGGGGCAGCAACATGCTTGCAAGCAATTACTGAATCTGAGAAGTGGAAGCTTGCGCCAGAGGACTTGGTCAGCGAAGTTTGCAATCTGAATACCACTGCCTTGGGCGACAAATCAACCCGGACAGTTGCTCAGATGCAGCTCGCGCGTTCATTATCGATCATGAACCCTGAATCTTGCCATGTGTATGGAGCTCGATTGCTCAATGTCGCACAAGAAGTCTTGAGCGACAGTACCTACTCTTGGCAGCTACGGAAGAGTGCCGCAGAGATGGCACAGTCCATTCTTGAAATTGTGGACAGAAAGGCTCTCGACTTGGTACTGAACTCAATAACACAGGTTGGTGTTCCTTACAACAGAATTAAGTGGTCTTCAAGCGTTCTCTCGTCAGTTGTAGCTTAAATGTTCAGGTCATGTGTAGATCTTTGAATCGACTTTGTAACACGGCAGTTCGACCAATCTGAAGTACAAATCAGACTCCCAGTGGTATTCATGTAAAACGATTCGATCCCTCACAATAAGCATGGTCAATGTAGCAATGACTACGATCCCCTGTTGTTTTTGAGACTTTCCACATGGTATTGGCACTCTTATGTGCAGCACAAATTCCCTGCATCTGAAACTGACTTGCAAGTGGTTCATTGTTGGGGCTCACAGGCTCTAGAGAACTGTAATCACGACACTATGCCTGAGGTCCGCACTGCAGCTTGTGAAGCTCTCCAGACGGCCAAAAGGAGTGGTGGGTCGACTAAAGAAAAAAATGGAGGGGATCACCGAGGATTGAAATCTTTTGATTCTAAGAAGCATACACCCCAGCAGAGAAACTGGAGTCCAAACAACTTCTGCCCAAGTTCACAGGACACTTACAATCTATCTTCTTACACGCCTCCTCCTGCATCATGTGACTCTGCTGTCTTTGATTCCTCCTCGGCCTCTAGTACCGACTCAACAAGCTGGATGAAGCGGTCTCTTATGTTTTCGTCAAAGACAATAGACCATTCGCCTTGCTTTCCAGGTCCACCTTTCGCCGTGGGACTTTACAAGAATCACGAGAGTATCTGTAAGCTTTGGTGCCACTCCTTCATGCAATCACAAGTCCTTTCAATGAAAACAATTTTTGCAAAGAACCCTGTCTGAATCTTGGTCATTGGTTCTCTGTGCAGCGGACAAGGAGTATGTATCTTCTTCGACTGTATGTGGAGATGTCACAGTTTCCCACACTGGTATGTCGGCGTATCTCGTTCCCGCCTCTCATTTCAACGACCCGCTGGTATGTGACCAAGTATCACCAGGCATGCAACATAAAAAGGAAGAGCTACTCGGCGAGACAGAACTCACTCCAACTGTAACGCAGGATCATCCAAAAGGGAAAGTTGAGTCTCGATTCAGTCCCTTTGAGGCACTTATCACCCGATCATTCTGTGAGGCAGATGGAGATCTAATGGCCGAGGATGAAGAAATTTTATCCGGGGGTTCAGCTGACTTAGATGGACGCATATGTGGTAATAACGGGATGCGTTCCGGTGGCAATTCAAGGTGGTCAATTTCAATGGGGAAATTTAGGCTGGATTCTCAGACCCCTGAGTATATGGAGGACAGTGTACAGAGCAACACGGTTTCCTGTATAGGCATGCAAAGTAACGACTCCGACGCAGATAGTATCGCAGTACTTGGCATGAAGGGTTGCATCAGCAATAACATAACTGGAAAGGTTGTTGATGTCTTAGAGAACAAGCAGATGCCCTACATGGGGTCTCTGCAAGCATTGACAGCTGGATACCCCAATGCATGTAACCTTGACGATTGGATCTCTCATGCACAGTATATGAAACTCGAAAACTTGTCCAACTCTCCAGAAGACGGCTACAGTTCCATGGTAGCTGACCCATGATGCTTCTTTTCTTTGTATATAGTGACTTCGCCTAGTAGTGCAGTTTGTTTTCCACTGCGTCTGAAATTTTATCTACAGTTTACATCATGCGAGAAGGGTTGTATACAAAGATCTAATTTCGGTACTCGACCATGCAGTGTTTCAGCATTCTAAACTACCTGACATTTTGCAGAAGCCAAGGGTGCTGATCACCGCAGCGGATTTCATGCCTTACACAACTCCACGGAGATTGGTGTTATCACTTCAATCTCAATTCTTAAGCCCGGGTGATGAAGTGGGTCAAGAGGATGTGGTAAGGATCGACAACAGGGCAGGTAAAATCACTGACATCAACGAGGATGCAGTGAGAAGCATTGACTACGGGACTATAAAGAGGATCGACTTCATTGAAGAACCAGATATGGAAGTTGAAAGTTCTAGTGACTCGGGTTGGAGTGTAAGAGACAATCCAATTGCCTCTGATGAGTCTACAGCTGCGGAAAGTAGCCCTCAGAATATGGAAACGCATGATGAGATCCACGATGGCTTAGCTCTTCCTAGAAAGATCCAGAACGTCGCAGGTGTTACCCCTACAAGTAGAGCAATCTCACCGCCGACCCACGAGTCAGAAATTGTCAATACCTCTCAGACGGTTCAACAAGGAAGCCTTGAAATTGACGATGCAGCCGTACACCTCCACACCTCAAGACCGTGTGGAGCCCTGGTTGTAGTTCCAGAGGCAGACAAAGTTTGCACGCCATGCCCAGAGTCTAAGCACAAGAGGCCCGCTCTTAAGTCTCGAGAGCGGGGCCTAAAACTGGAAGTGGACCGAACAACAGATGATCGAAGCAATGAGCAGGAAATGATCAACTCAACCAGCATCTTCAGCCAAGCAGGCGAGTCCTGTGTGGACGTGCCTGTATGCGAGAAGGCTGTCTGGGTTGATGATGTCTCAGCCAAGTTGTGGAGCAATATCTCATTGCTGAACTCTGCCAAGAGAGGTTGCTCAAAGATCATGTCCATAGCTGAAGTAGTTCTGAAAGGCTCCCTATGCGTCGTTGTTGCTGTTCCGATCAGCTTGGCCCTTGCAACGGTGCTCCAAACTCCAACAGATTACTACTTGGTGCCGACATGATGTGCTTCCCAAACCCTCATTTTTTTGTTTCTTACAGTGATTTATAAATTCTCATGCCAGTTTATTATGTTGAGGATCAAGCTGTATGTAAATAGTAGCTACATTCATCTGCTTAGTTCATTAGGATAGCGTTAGTAATAATATCCCATTCAAGTTTGTTTGAATATCCTAGGTTCGCAGCGCTGCTGCTTGAAAATGATTATTCATCGCTGGGCAATATTTTTGTCCCTGGAAATCCTCCTTCCTAAAGGTGCATGTTTCACTTGATATGAGCAGAGATGTTGTAATTCAATGATCTGACCAACAAATTTTTGAGTTTCTGGAATTATATGTTGAAATAGTTAATATCTACAATTTAACCTGTCCATGTGTAAATTATATTTTCTGTTGGTTGTGTACATTAGAATTTGTTCGATTTCTATGTGGAGGAGAATTGAATGGATGAACCTCGTACAAGTTATCTGTGACTCGGCTATGATAGTTATCTAATGCTATAATTTGACAAATTATAATTATTTATCTAAGGACTATTACCAACTCATCTGATTGCCATTTCTTATAGATAAACAATTGTAGGTTGTTATAGTACATGTGGAGTGAAAATGAATTTGCTTATGAAGGTATATCGATCAAATTTTAAGATGTGTATCTGGAAAATGTTTTACTGAAATTTCATCCAAACACAATGGTGCATTCCAAAAATTATTTGATATACTATTTATTTTCATAATCCATCTATATAAATTCATCATAGTTTCAATTAAGTCTACAATTTTTGTGACATTGTGGGATTGTTTTCTCTTAAGTAGCTGCAATATGTTTTTTCAAACTCTTGCTTAGGTTCATTTGTTCCTTATCATCCCATCTTCCCCCAAATTCACTGCCAAGGGGTGATAATTTATCACCAACTTCAAACAAAACATATATTTGGGCCATTGATCACACAAACTGCCACCCTCTGCGACGCATCCTCGGCAGCAATTGCACCTTTCTCCCAAATATTTATTTCCCAACAATTCATTTTCGTATTTCCCACACAACAAGTTTCCTTTTTCCTCTATTGAAAACAGGTCGGTACTTGAATGATAACCTGATGAGCCAGAGAAATCTCCTCTTCCGCCATCTATTGTCAGGGAGGAGGGAATAATAGCTTTTCACAAAAAAAAAACAAAACAAAACAAAACAAACTAACAAGCTAACGAACAAGCTGAGAAGAATAGGGGGAGAGCAAACCGAAGCAGTTGTGATAGCACACCAGACCTCAACCCAAAACTTCGTTGCTCTATCCATGCTCGATCGTCTTGCTCAGATTAGGGTTCAGTTAATCGATAAAAATTGGATTCTGGGATTGGGTATTGAATGGGTGTCAGTGGCTAGAATCGCATCAGCAAGTTTCTAAAATGCCCAAAGAGTTCCGAAGTCTGGAGGGTTTTGGAAGAAGCTGAGACATACACCTCAGGTCCCAACAAGGCTTTCTCCTGTGTCAGATCGTAGCATGTCATAGCAATCCTGCAGGAGTTTGGAAATCCGAATGGGAGCTCCACGCACAAAGTTTTTTGGGGATGTGAAGAGGAAAATCCGAGATGCGGTTGCTGGATGGCAAAGTCTGGATGACGATGCTCAGCTGAACCCATGATGCGGATGATCTCAGTTGAAGAGTGGGTTTTGAGGTTTTTGAGGTGGAGCGTCTGAAAGTTTATGCTCAAGCTTGACACTGTTGAGCGCGGGCAATCGTTGCTTCTGACCTTGAATTCCATGGTTTGTGTGAGTTTCAGTTAGCTTAGGGCGCTCTAGAATTTGAGTTATGGCGGACATGATAGGTTGGACCATGCTTAGAGCTTCACGAACTTCGTTGGGTTTTGTGGCTGCACCCTTGTTACATTTTCAGAAAATTACGCATGAGAGAGCGTGGAAATGTGTAACCGTCTCAACATCTGCTAGAATTAGCATCAGTTGTAACAATTTTTGTAAAGCTGGGCTGAGTTCTTTGGCGCAATTTGAGAGGATTTCCTCTCAACAGGTTCGGGTTCTCTCGTCAGATTCTAGCTTCTCCCCCCTTGTTGCATCTGGTGAAAAAGTGGAGGAAGACGCAAGTGGAGTAGGGGCATTGGAACATGAACATAATGGCGGCCAGGAGGATGGTATGAGTCCATTGAGCAAGTTGTGCATGAACAAGGTGCCGGAATACGTGCTGCGAAAGTAATTGTTATCCCTCGAACCCATAGGAGTTAAGGAATGTCTTTGAGCCCTGCCAATTAGTTACTTGGATTACAATTCTCGGACAGATAACTTCGGAATACAAATAGAACAGATTCCAGTGTTTGTCTGTCTGACTGTTTGTTGTTTGTTTGTTTTGTTTTGTTTTGCTTTGTTTGTTTGTTTGTTTGTTTTTTTTTTTTTTTTTTTCTTTTTTCTTTCTTTTCCAGTTTCATATCTGTCTAATCGTAATGCAGGGCAGAAGAGGTGGGGTATTCTGTGCCCACTCTTGTCCAACAAGAGGCATTGCCAGTCCTCCTTTCTGGCCGTGATTGTATCCTCCACGCACAGGTAAAATTCGAGACGCTATGTCACTTTCGGAGAGTTTCTTAAGTAGCAAGATTGATTAAGATGATGCAAAAAGATCCCTTTGGCTATGTTAATTTCAATCACGTTGGTACGTGTGAGTGTACCAGAAGTATTGACGAATGTGTCGAATATGCCTTCTGCAGACAGGCTCTGGTAAGACGCTGGCATATCTCCTGCCAATTTTTGCAAAGATTCTTCCTGCACGGGCTGCTGTGCAAGCGATTGTGGTTGTTCCTACTCGAGAGTTAGGTATGCAGGTAAGCTCTTCATATGCGCAGGACATGGATGGTGATTTAGAAAGATTGCTTAGCGTAAAGTTTCTTTTAGAACAGTTGTCTGCAAACTGTTTGTTTGCAATTTCACACTTGGTGCAGCCTTGATTCAATTTTCAGTGCGGAGCAACATTGTTCAAAACAATTCATCGGTTGGCATCTCTTCACAGGTGGCAAAAGTTGCGCGCAAGTTAGCCGGAAAGGGAGGTTCTGAAGAGGACGGCAAGGCGCCAAAGGAGAAAGGTACTGTCATGGTGATGACCTTGTTGGAAGGCGGAACCAATAGTCGTCAGAAAGCCTGGCTCAAGGTATGCTTTTGTATGTTTCTTATTAGAAGGACTCATCCCTCTTCAGCAAGTTTTCAAGTTCAACTACTTCTATGTAGAGTTGCTTCTTTCCTAACATCGACGTTGCCATGACAGGCGGAGCCACCTCAAATTGTTGTTGGTACGCTGGAACGAATCGCTCGCATGATTGAAACTAAGAATCTACGCACCAATGCTGTCAACACTATCGTTATTGATGAGGTTCTCTCCCTTTTTCGTGCCTCTATCTGCTACTCCCCTTGTTCTTCCTACTTCTGTATCTTTATGGTGTGTGATGTAATTTTCCCTCGTTCTAAGTAATTCCACACCCACTGTTTTAGGATCAGTTCCTGAAAGTTGTAAAGGCACCCATCTGTATCAGCTGAAACTTTATGAAACCATATGACTTGTCTACGCCCTGAAGTTCGGTTTTTATTTATTCATTTATTCATTTATCTATTTATCTATTTATTTTTGTACTTACAGTGATGTACAGTTTGTGCAGAGCAGGTGGATGCTATGATGGGAGCTGCAAAAGAAGGCGGTCATCTGCACAAGTTGCTAAGTGAGTACACACGTCCCCAACAACGTCAAACCATACTTGCCAGCGCTACCATTCCTCAACATCGGCGGTTCTTGAATGACTGTATCCAGAATAAGTGGGTCAAGGTAGCTTTTTGTCCGTTGTTAAGTGACTCTTCGACATTATCCACTGCAGGTGGCATTTAAAATGGTTCAGTTGCATTAATAAGCGTTGTTTTGTTGCTTTTAGCCATATTTAGAGGTTTGAACTCATACAAGTTGATATAATTTTGGTTGGTGGAGTGACGATTTTGCTTGCAATGTGCTACAGGAAGACGTAATGCATATCCATGTTCGCCCAGAGGATAAGATGCCCTCGTATCTTCATCACCGTTATGTGGTAATGCCTTCAATTTATGACATCATGGATATGTGATGTATTATTGACAAGTGCAAGATCGCTTGTAAGGTGGATTTGTTCGATACATCATTTCATAACTAACTGTAGAGCGTTTGTGAGAACAGGTCTGCGAGAAGGACGATAGGTTGCCAGCTTTGTTGTCATTGCTGCAATCAGATGCTCCAAGAGCAGCAATTATCTTTGTAAACGATCAGGTGCGCTATCGTTCTTGCACTCGGCATTTTGTAGCTTTCCGATGCAATGGCTACAGCTAGAACAACTCTTTGAGTACAGACGTGTTGAGATTGTAAACCTCTATTATTGCACCTTGTTAAGGACTTCAGGAATGATATGCGCAGAGAGACTTATAATAAACAATTTCATTTAAGCATTTGTTCATGATGTTTAGTTTACATGCATGCTATTTTACTCAATAATTGTGGATATGTTTTCAGTCGGAGAAAGCGAAGAGAGCAGGGAACACTCCAACAACAATAACAGTTGCAGATTATATCGCAAAAATGAAGTTTTCTTCTGACGATGCCCTATGGGAACCACTAGTTCTGGAAGAAGAATCACACGTCAATGCTCGTGCTGCTACGCTTGCTGTAAGTGAAATGCCTTGTCTATCAACAGAGCCTGAGGTAGTTAGAAATTTGGAGTCTTAGATTGGTCTGTACTCTACCAGGATACATGGATGACCATTTAGCTAGCTCTAAATTTCCATTACTTTGGTACAGGATTTCCGGGACGGCAGATGCTTACTAGTAGCCACAGAACTGGCTGCTAGGGGGCTTGATTTGCCGGAAGTAAGTCACGTCTACAATTTTGAGTGGCCGCCTTCAGTAACTTCGTACATCCACCGCGCTGGGCGCACAGGCCGTCAACCAATTACTGAGGAGCTGGGGACTGTGACGAGCTTCATAACACCGAAGGAGTTATTCGTCCTAAGGCGTCTCGAAAATGAGATGATGTTGAAATTTGAAGCATTGAAAGTGCAAGGAACCACGTGAGGGATCAGGGGCGAATCTGATCTACATACTGATTATGCTGGCCTGAATCAGTCCGGCTAGTAATTGTACTGTTTCATTTGTAACAATGCAGTTTTACTGGCAAATCAACATTGTATGTATGTTCGTTTCCTATTCTGACTTGGCAGGTACATCTCTTCTTCCGAGGACCTGTTACAATTCCTGTTGTCTGGTGCATTAGTTAATGCATCAAAAGAAAAAAAATCTCTAAAATGTCTCACTGAAAAATCAGATTCATTAAAAAAACAAAATTAACATCATGAGGCTCATCATACTTAATGCCAAACTGCCAAAGAACAGACATAAGATACAGGGTGGGCCAAGTCTGAAGACACTTGTTATACAAAACGAAATGACACTTTTCCAGGGACCATCGAATAAAAAATTTCCGCTGTTCTACACATCTCTTTAATGCATCTTGCAAGCCTGTGTGAAGACTTACATCTGTATCTGGAAAGAATTAGTCGAAAACATGTAATTATCTACGAAAACACTTTTGGAACATCAGCGGAGTTGCCAAGATATCTACCACTGGGAATCTCTTGCTTAGTTTTGGCTTATATGAACAGCACCCAGAGAAATTTTCAAATGAATGTATGTTGCTACCTGATTGGTACAACACATTCCACGGCAGGCCTAGTTAAAGCGCAGCCGTCTCTCACCTTGCTGATACCCATGATTGCTCGAATAGAGCATGTACGAGCTTGTGAAAAGAACTACGAACCATTAAATGAGAGTCACCCAATGTGCATGGTTCATGAGAACAATGTTGTGCTTTCAATACAACATTAGCTGCGTCTGTTTGGTAAGAAAAAGCTGATGCAAGTGTGCTCTATAAAACTCCCAAAACTCGGCCCTGAATCAAACACCCAACCAAACATGTCAGGACCCTGAGACATCACATTACTGCAACAAATCACAAAATCTATTCTAACATGTGTTGCCAAAAGACCATTTATTTCCCCTCAACACGATGTTTTTGCTTCGCTTAGTTGGTAAATTTAGTAAATGGATATAACGAAGTAGAAGATCAATGAAATCTTAACATACATGACTTGAGGAACACTTAAGATTGTCAAGCCTTTTGCATCAGCATGCATGTCCAAAATTATAAGACGTAAGCAGCTAGTCCCCAGTGCCCCTATGTCGATCAACTTCCGCACCCTGAAAACAACCTTGAGTCAATAGCTTCTTTGTGGGCAAATGTTTCAAATAGACTCAAGAAACTTCATCAAGAACTCCAAAAGTCTCGAAGACAATCCACACAGTTCCCATTTGATGAGCAGAATTCTATAACATAAAAAAGTCTGTTTCACGGCTTTTAAATGTGAATAATGCCATGAGAACTAGTATTACTGCTCAGAGAGAAGCTGAAATGATCAAGTATGGTGATAAGAAAGTGTTCACAGACGTACCTGTTAGGAGTTCCAGCAGCTATGTTTACGTGTTCCTTTAGAAGCGCTACCTGAGACATAGATCATTTGGCCAAGTTATATACACCTTCCTGTACTGAGAAAGAACACGTCATTGACTAATCTCTTATATTTTACTTATCTGTAAGGGGTCATCATAACTCCAAAAATCCCGACAATATCTGCAGATCTTGGAGGTAAAGTACGCAATCTATACCTGTTCATCCACTTTGATATGTTTGGCGAAAAGTTTGGCAGGTTTCACCTTTCCTATGAATGCTTTCATTCCCCTGATCACACCAAAAAACAAAAGTAAGGACTTCTATCAATTTTTAAAAAGTAAAAAAGTAAAACGAGAGTGGTAACGCGTGAGTGAAACCCAGCTGAGAAGCAAAACAAGCTGCGCAACATGGCTGCAAAAGCGACCCATGTAACGGTGAACTTGGGCTTGACGATCTATTTCTCACCTAAGGAGCTCCACACAACGAATAGCAGAGCTGCAGAGAACCAAGACAACAGGGCTCCCAGCATCACCATCTTTATCGACAGTACAGAGAGACTCCTTCCAAATAGGGCCAATTACACGTTTTACATGCGATCCTAATTTTTCCGTGCTTCGATCTATTTCCTCGGTCAGCTCCACAATCCTGTCATCTGCCTCACCACACAGATAATGCAGTTAGAGAAAAACTAAACTAACTAAAAAATAGAAAAAAAAAAACTACTGGCTTATGCAAATTCTAGCTTGATATAAGGAATGGATTTTTTTAAACAAAAAGAAAAATAACCATAAAAAATCACATTCTGCAGAACTAGGAATCGCATTCACAAGATGCTAATCCATACCGAGGAAAACCTCCATGAACGGATAAGTTTCCACTAATGGAGACCAACTCCACCCTTAGCGTAGTCCCACAAAGCAAGATCGCCTTCTACTACAATTGACGCAATTTCATAACTGAAGCCTAACTCACCAAACAAGACTCACTGAACACTACTTCGCTCAAACCTGCTCTTAACAAAGACCAAATCTTGACGAAGCATTGGGTTTTTTCTTCTCAAATACAGGCATGCTTGAATTTTTAAGCCTGAGTACAAGCTTGTACTCAGGCTTAAGAGTCCAAACTCACTAACCCAAATGCTACCATCAGTCTCTCCCTGTCAGAAAGCCATTAGCAATCAAACCTGGAATAGGTTCCTTCTCGGCTGCAGAAAGCAGAGCGCCAAACACAGAGTGGAAAGTGGCTGTGAACCACTCAGTCTGCTCTGTCCGGGGCCTCCATTGCACACCGCTTTTGTCAACTACAGCTACTTCGCTCCCTTGCTTATCACCATCACTCGACGCTTTCAGATTTGCCTTCGCCTGCGCCTTCTTCTTCGTCAACGGCCGTGTTTTGAAAACCTTCTTCGCAGGACCGAGCTTCTCATCAGCAACAACGGTCCCAGAGCGGCTGTTTTTCTTACGATTCCTCTCCATAACTGCCGGCATTACTTGCTAAAATACTTCGATCTCCGCCCCAAAACCCTAATTCCAACCAGAAAGCTTCAAATCCTATACTCCAGAGCTTGATTTCACGCTCACCCCAGCTTCATTCACTTCCTCGCGTGATCTCAGGGTTTAGGGTTTAGGGTGGTCTGAACACGGTCAAAGTAAAGGCCACGGTCATGGGACCTCATCCCTCAAAACCCAACCACAACCAACGCTTCCCACTCACTTCAGTTTTCACTCGTTTACCCTAAATTGCTCGTAATTTGTCTTGATTGAAGTCTGTTTGGAGTTATGCATTAGTTGTGAGGCATTGTGTTGCTTCTAATTTGATGCCCACTTCTCGTAAGTTCCTTGTTGCTCATGGATTAGTATGTCTAAGTGGTTAGAGCTCCGCCTCTGAATTTTCTAATTGACTTGATTCAGGAATTTTAAGTTTCATGACTTTAAGGTTTTAGTCCGCAGTTGTAATACCTTGTTTCGTTGAGCCTCTGACTTGCTGTGTAGCTCTCTCTACCTCGTCATCGGTGGCTTTGATGCACTTGGACTTGTAATCGACGTCATGTTTACAATTGTTGTTATTCTTCCGTCTCTGATTCCCACACTTTGTATTTTGATGTTCTTGTGACGTCTCTGTGGACCTCGCCCTCCATTGACCCACGAATTTAATCCATACCTTTGCGTTACTTATGAAGATATCACAGCCGCCGTGACCTGGACCACCTCTCTCGATACCGCCACCACTACTCCAGTTCCCCCTGTGCATCATTGTTTCCGATAATATTCTGTTTCAGCGAACGTGTCCGATTTCCCCCATTTTAATTTCCTTAGATTTTACCGCGCAGGGGGTTTCAACAACGGTAACAAATCCATCATCCGCCACCTCTCTCATGTTTTGGAGCTTTGGTGAGCTTGCTCGCTCGATTCCTGGCATGCAGTTGGTGGTCGAATTGACACCTCAAGATGGTTCACAAGATGTAATTGTTTTCGTCTACAGTATGAGTAGATTGTCGATGTCGTTTTATCATTCAACTTTAAATTTCTTGCGATATGATCCCCACTAAATACTGCGATCCTCCACGGAACAAATTTCAACTTGCCATAATTTAAACTATTGCAGTTCTCCACAATTGTGTCACGTAGAACACAAAATTGCTAGTAGTTTTAAATTGAAATGGAAGGTAAAAAAACACACATGGAGGAAGGGCCCCTACTGTACAAAACGCCTAATCTCAACTCTGAATATAATAAAATCTTACGAATCATTACATCTAAAAGAACATAACGTAAAGCCAAACTCTAAAAGCAGTATAATAAGGCTTATAAACGCGATGTATTAAGGAATTTATTCAATAAATGATTTGCATGAGTACACTCAAGAACCACGTCCTGATATGTACATGTCTAGCAATTCTCTACTGCGAAAGTTTCTGTTACATTTAAAATATCAACCAAAATAGCCATGTATGAGTGGAGAGCACACATGAAACATGTCGTCGTTTATTTAATACATGGTCATATTCTGGACACAAAGAGCCAGCACAGGGAACTGGAGAATCTCAAGCTTTTCCATCAAATAAACGATCAACTCAGGGAATTCACGTAACGTCGAAACCATAGATTAATACAGAACAACTTCTCTATCAAAAAATGACGCAGAAAGTTGAGGTGATTAGATGCTCACTTTTGCATAATAACATATTAATGAACAACAATCAACCCTGCCGAAGCCTTTTCTGAGCTTACAATTCTAATGTCTACTTTCATTTTCACCCAACGTAGCCTGACTAGAAATGAAAGAGATTTTTAACTGGCAATAGTACTACATAACCTAATCTTCATGAAAGGCGTCCATCAGATACAATTTACTGAGACTCTGTCCAGCAAACCTGTTTCAAAGAACCAACCGCGAGGTTAGGAATTGATAACCAACCATAATTTGAGAGCAGATCACGCAGCTAAGCACTGACATTTAAATGTATATAAGCGATCACAGAGGAGGCATTCATCAAACGAATCGAACCTCAGCAGCACGTTTCGAACACCTAGTTTCAAGATAACAAGCACATCAAAGAAAGTCCCTTCAGTTTTATATGCAGACAGTATTCATGCGTGAAAGAAGTGTAGAGCCCATACCCATTCACTTGACTGCAGTAGTTGGAAATCTGGTTCGTGATCAAGTAGCTGTCAAGCCGTGAAGGCTCGGGTAAGATCTTGAAAACAGGATTGTTGGGTTCTTCTTCTGGGAGTGGCTCTTCACCAGACGCTCTTCGGGCAGCGTTTTCGGTTCTGCAAAAAGTGAGGACGTTACACATTGCCTTGACAATGTTCATAAAATTTCCAACCAAAACTCTAAATAAGAAATCAATCACACAAGGTCACAAACCTGGCACCTGAAAAAATCACCAACAGATCAGAAACAGAAAGTACCTTCTCTTTTGCAGCCAGGCTTGTTGCTGTGCTTGCTGTCTTGACAGATTACGATAATAATATTGAAACTGCACAAATCCATGTTGACGAATCAATTCACCACTTCCTTTGGAAGTGACTTGAATGGTCTAGTTGAAAAAAGATGGTGGTACCAATTTAGTCTGGTCCCCTCCATATTTTCTAAATCCTTACTCAATGATTCAGGATCTTCAGAATCATCGAAATGCATATCATTAGCAATACAGAAATAGCTAGAAGTATGACAAACATAGAGATCGATGCACCCGACATAACTAAAGATACCTTTTGCTGTTCCATAGAAAGATCGTCCATGCACTCAATTAGGAATTCCAAATTCTTTTCCATAAAAGGGTTTGTGGACAAGACAAGTCTGTCAAAGTCGCACTGAACACGTTCACCAATTCAACAGAATATCAGTGCTACTTTCGGTAATAATTAATATTATTTCTGAAGTCTCAACAAGCAACAGCAAATGATCTGTCCTTTCAACATCTGTTCTGCTTATAACTATGGATCAACAACGGGGACCAGTTAGCAATGGGAAAAAAGTGACACGGGCAAACTTACTTGAGTAGCCGGGGCCTCAGGTTCTAGCTCAGTCATCAAGGAACTCACGAGAGCAGAATTTGAAATCTTCACCTGCAAATCAGATTAAGAGAACACATACAAGATATTCGTTAAAATAAAATATGAGCACCTACAATAACATGCATAAATCAGATGAACCTAGCGACTTACAGGAATTTCCTCGAAAATGTGGGTCCAGGCCATATTCTTCTCCCTTAACCTGTAATATAACAAAACATGGGTTGTCACGAACGATCACTAAGAACAGTAATTCAGTATTGAAGAGATCTAAAGTAGCTAAAAATTGGGTGATTTCAAAAGCGTGTCGGGATATCAGCAAAAAAGCGCAAACAAATCCACTCACTTCTCTCCAGAGAGGCTTTGGGAGCGATAGAGCTCCATGAAATCCTCGGATAGCTTTAAAGCCTTCAATGCCAACACCCCTTGGCCAGAACGAACAGGATCATAAATTATGCAGACACATCGCTTGATGTTCTCCTGCAAAGACCATTGTGAGATATAGGATTGTTGATGAATCTAATTTGAAAAACCGAAGAATTCCGTTTAAAAACTCACCTGATAATTTAAAAAGGTCTCAATAAGCTCCACAGTTTGAAACGAACCCATGTAAGTTGATTGGTACCTGTAATCCAACAAACAAAGACAGATTTACGTCTTGAAAAAAGAAAAGAAAAAACCCGTTCTGAAACAACAGCGTCACAAAGACAAGGAAAGGGAAGTTACTACTTCAGACACCTAATGGTGAATAAGTTTAGAGCAGAAATTTTAGTATACCAGCCAACAGTGTTGTTGTCAACGTTAACTTCACGCAGGCAGCGCATCATCTCCAGTTGGTAATTAGCCCCATCAGTATCTAACTCGTCTTCATCCTCTCCACCGCGGCTCTATAGCCACTCCAACAATATGTGCCAGTCAATACAGAATTATAGGTTATTCTAGACGCAGCAAATTATACTGAGCTCTCACTGGAAGACAACCTCTTTCATGGGAAAAGCCAGAGTGTGAACGGTTCTATATACTTGTTTCCATATACTACTGACGTGAGACGACCAAAGCCCACGGATTTATGACAACAGCCGTTACACTAGCAACAGGAACAACGCCTGGGCTCCAGCCTATGCTGCTGTGAACTACAAGCTCGGGTGGAAGAGCTTCATCGACCACTTAAAAGGCCGTGTTTAATCGACTAGGATATGCAAAGCGTTCTTCTAAGCCATGCATGAGGAACTGAAGCATTCAGAAATCCATCAGAATATTACTTAAATCTACGATAACACGGGCACAAGGAATATATATGTCCCATATGATAGAGATAGCGAGGGATAGAACATTCGACATGCCAGAGTAATCCATCGGACTCCAATTTACATCCATTAGGCGCTTGCGAGGAAAACGAGCAAGAACGCTGGAAACTTACTGGGAAAGGAAAGCAGTTAGTGACTTCAAGAATGCTTCCAATATCAAGCCCAAGCAGCTGACCCGTCACTAGTGCCGGCATGCACTCCTTGCAGTGCTTGATGATCTTCAATGCAACCTGCAGGGGAAAAACTAAATATAAACCTAAACCGCCCCTGCTCCTGACAACTAACAAACCTTCCATGTAAAGATGCAACACATGATAAAAACACGTGAATTCAGTTCTCTGATACCGAGTAGTTAAAAAAAGGGGCATCATACCAAGCCTTCAATCTGCACAACCCTTAGAGGCTGTACTTCTACCTCCGCCTGGGCCGCCTGGGCGAAGGAACGCAACGGGGCTGCCATCACAATCAGCGAAGGGATCCAATTACTTCTATTTCAATCAAATAAAATATAAAGTAAATATAAAAACGAAGAAGAGGGAGCAAAGCGTCATCAAAACAAGACAACATGGCACCGTCTCCGCAAAGGATGCTAAGCCCAAACCCTAAAGCCACTAAAGCACTGAAAGGCAGCTCTAAATGTACCAAGACAGACACGTAAAGAAGGCACAAAGGGAAGAGAAGAGGAGAGAAGAGAAGAGGAGAGAAGAGAAGAGGAGCTCACGAGGATTTCCGTCTGCCATGCTGGGAAGAGGAGGACGCTAGGGTTCGTTCGAGGGGTTCGTGTGAGGACGTGGGTGAGTGAGTGGGAGAGTGAGTGAGAGAGCGAGAGAAAGAGAGAGAGACTGGGTTCCGAAATCCCTCCCGAGACGCGGTTTGAGGCTGCGGTGCACACAGCGCAGCTCAGCACTGCAATGGAATGGGGAAGGGTCTGCAGCTGGTGCTGCGATGTCGGGAAGTGTGTGTGTTTGTTTGGGATGATGAATGAATCCCTCTGTCTCTCCTCTGAAATTAGGGTTTCCCCTCCTCGCGTTAAATTGAGAGAGAGAGAGAGAGAGAGAGAGAGAGATTCCAGCTGTTGCTGTTCCTCGTTCTTCTTCCCACTGAGAGAGAGAGACTGTGCGAGGTGTTGCGCTTCCCTCAGGGGAACACCGTTTCACCTCCGTTCCCCTGCTCTCTCTCTCTCCGTTCCCCTTCTCTCCCCGTTCCCAATACATCTTTCATGATTCCCATTCAATTGAACCGCACAACCTTCCATTCCTATTAAAAAAATGTATCATACTTTTTCTTTAAATTTTTAAGGAATACAATAACTCACATGTTTGTATGTTTGCAAATATATATATATATATATATATATATAAACTATGATTTTTCAACATATCAAATAAACATGACAACAATATAAAAATATAAGAGCAACAACAAGAAAAAATAAAAATAAGAAATAAGAAATAAAAATCTTATGCGTAGATTTTATAATATTTATATCTAATTCAAAATTTAAATAAAATATATAAAATTCACAAAATAAATAAATTAATCAAATTTGAATTTTAAAATAATAAATCATTGACTATTACTTGCACAAGGCTATTTATTGCATAAGGCCAGTAATAAGATTCTAAATTTTAGATGAGCCAAAGCATAGCAAGCAATATCAGTGCAAATATTAGGAGTTGCAAGAACATACTAGATTATATTAAGAAACTTAAAAGAAGCTATTGAAGATAAGTTGTGTCCAAAAACAAACATTTTATTGTTCCAATCTAATATTATTTCCAAAGAATGTTCAAAGGTTGGTGGTAGGTTTCAAGGACTATCCTTTGAAACTATTGTAATATTCAAAAATGATGATGAAGGTATTAGAAAATATTTCAAATCATAAGAGAATAATATCAAGTATTTTTTTAATTAATTTAGATCCAGATTAAAATATTATTACGTTTTTAAAATAATAATAATATTCAATAAACATTTAATCATAAATATTTTATTTAAGTGTGTTTTTTTCTACTTTATATTTATATATATATATATATATATATATATATATTTAAAAATATCAATGTTTTTAGTATAATATCATCCACAAGAAATATATTGATTCACTTGTTGCAACAACTATCATTTCTTTTAAATATTACCATAACTTTAAACCACATATATTATAAAGTTAAAAGATACTTAAAATTAGGAATAATATAATATATACACTTTTAAAATCCTCCTTCTAGAGATAGCTTTTTTAGGAAATAATAATGATATAATTTTCTTGCTAATAATATATGGTTTATATATATATATATATATATAAATAATTAAAATTTTATGAAATGAATAAAATAATGATAATATTAATAAGAGATTAAAACATGGATCATATTAAGAAAAACATTGCAATGAAAAATTATGAGATATTTAGGTTAAAATGATAATAACAAGTCAAGAAGGATTTTAGGCTACTCAAAATCACCAATCTTAGATTTTTCTTTTATTTTCCTAAGAGTATAGAGCAACCATTCTTTGTACACTTTATGTATCAAATTTGATAAGTTTTAAGGTCTTTTAATAAGATAGATTTTAAACATACATTTAAGAGTGTTATAAAATTTAATTTCAAATAAATATATGAACAATAATTTTTAGTATATATATTATATTTATCTCCTAAAAATTATCGTTATCTCCTAATGTATAACTTAATAATTTTAAAAATTCTTGTTATCTCCTAATATTTGTCAAAATTAAAAGCAAGTTGTATGGATGTCTACTAATTTGACTTGAAGTTATATTTTATTAGTAAAATAATTCATAATTTTGGTGTAGTATTTGAAGAAATTAGAAAAACTATTATAAAATAAATTATGTGTATAAATAAAATATGATTGTTTTTGAAGCATCGTCAAGTATATAATTTTTTTATGCATGCATTAATTTATTAATTATATGATTATTATACAATTGAATATAAAATTTCAATATTGGTTTTTAAAGCACCAAATAAGATATGCAAACGAGTGTCTTCTAAAATCAATACAGTTTCTTTAGAAATTCTAATACTATCATAGTTTTTTTGTTTTTTGCTCTTTCTTTCTTCTTTTTTTTTATTTTTTTTATTTTTTAACCATTTAAATTTATTCAAATAGTACACTTTTATATATAGTTCTTATGTTATTCTCCACCACAAATGGAATATGATCTTTCACCACTATTTTTTAAATGAATGTTGAAAAATAATCAAAAGAAGGTTAATTTTTAATATCTTGAGCATTGTTTAGAAGTTCTACTAACCATTTGTCTATTGTAAAAATAAATAAGCAAGTTGCCTATATATTAATAAAAATTTTGTGATGTTATATAAAAAAAATCAAATCATTGCATAAATATAGCTAACAAGGTGCAAAAATTAAAAGCACCACGTATTTATTTATTTTATTAAGATTATTACATCTTTAATATATAACTACTATAAGTTTATATTCTAAATATCTTATACATTTTTTAAAGATTTATCTATTGAAATTAAATGTAGTAATGAATTCAAATGTCAATAAGAAAATTTACATCTAATTGTGTAATTTAAAATTTTATTGCACTAAAAATATTAAGTAAAATATAATCTTATTTTTTACCATAGATCCTTATAAATAAAATATAAAAATAAAAAATCTCTATGAGTATGTCATAGCAAATGGAATTATTAAATGGTTTATTGTTGACTAACAAAATGCTTATGAAATATAAAAATATATATAAGGCATTAGTGGTAAGAACAACATTTCATTTTTCCAATTATACATAAGAACTTTTATATCTTATTTTTAAAACTTCAATTACTAAATAAATTGAAACAAACAGCAATGCATGTATAATTACACTTTTTATAAGTATTCAAAAAATTGAACATGTATCTTAATAGCCTCTTGTAGCCATTTAGAAAATATCAAAATTTAATTAATATTTTATCACTGGTAGAAAAAATCATACAATATAAAAACTACATTTTGTTTTATTATTGTTGTATAAAAAAATTCTTTGATCTTTATTATTTTTTAAGAATTAAGATGTTTATACAAAGTAATAAAAAGAAAAAATAATTTTTAATTGCATGCATTAACTTTTAAAAATACCAACCAAAAAAACTAAGTGAGAAGTTTTTTTTTATTAACATCACAAATTTGCACATTAAGTTAATATAAATATTAAGCACGGCATAATATATTATTTATAATAAACAATAAAATAATGATAAAATTCATACATACATTTTTTGTTTTAAAAAAATGGAAGTACGTAATTTTAATTTTAATTTTTGTTTTGCAACAATTTTATTGAAAACATAAAATTTATACAAAGTTAAAGCCAATTCAGGTAGATCGTACTTGATTTAGTCTAAAGATCATATTAAACTATTTCATTTGTTTGGCTTTTAGAAACATGACTAGATTGTTTTTGTGCACCATTCTTTTCCAACTCTATTGAAGCAAAATTGTTGTTTGTAGCCTTAGTAGGATTGCCTTTCTCATCTCCATCTCTTGGTGTTGCATTTCTATAAAAAGCATATAAGGCTAATTGGGCAATACCGGATGCAGCACCCAATCCATTGGGAATCTAAACAAAGACATACAATTTAATTAGTGAAAATTACATTTATCAAATGTAAAAATAATAATAATTATCAGTTGAATCAAAATAAGATTTATGAAAATTGATACTTACAGCAATGTAGATGTCCACTCCACCAATAAATGCGTATCCAAACCACACAAGTCCATTGATAAAATTGAACAATGAAAGCAAAAATGGCATGTACTTTACACTTCGGGTTTGAATTACCATTCTCTGCAATAACCAAATGTATGTAATAATCAAAACCTTATTTATAATAATTTCAGTAGTATTTTGTACATAAAAAATAACAAACAACATATATGTTAAAATATTATTACAAAGTAAATGTAAGAATAAGTTGGAAACGTACCATGATAGAGAGAGGAGACGCATACATCCCTACCGCAAAAACAGCACAAAGAGTCCCAATGACAGTCTTGCGTTTCTTCTTGTCCTCTATCAATTCCAATACAAGAACCGTCACCGCAATAAAAGAAACCAGAACTAACATTAAGAGCTTCATGACCTTCATCTGTCAAAAAATAACAAACAAACGAAATATACATAAATCAGTGCATTAAAAATAAAATTTAGAAGAATTCATCATAAAAAAATGGGTGATAAAATAACTTCGAATAAAATTTAGATGAAATTACTAAAAGTAAACCTTACCCTTATTTTCTTTTCTGCATTCAGCAAATATAATGTGAGGAATAAAAACTCAATGAAACAGCCAGCTGCATTGATGGTCACAACTAGCACTTGAAACTCCACCACCGGAAGGCCATATACAACCCACAGTAGGCAATTGAGCAATGTACACACATACGGAAAGCCAGAGTAATCTGCCACAGTTTTCTTCTTGACAATTTTGATGAAAGTGGGGCTGCAAACATTCCAGTACAAAAGTCCATTCAGTTTGATCGAAGACATTTGTTTGTCACTGTGTATGAACTTCGCATACAGTGTGATTATTTTACAGGTACGTGACAAACTCCCAGATCTCCAACTCATGCTTAATTTTGTCCGCTGCAACATACAGCAATATTCTAACGCTGTATTAAGTTTCATGCATCTTACGTGAGTTGCAAAAGAACGAAGGGTGCCCGAGTTCTACTTAGAGAAGATGCTTACATTGGCGACGTAAATAGACAGATCGCAGTGATGTTCCCTGGACACAACACGTTTCCAAGCCAAAACCATGAAAGCAGCCATAAGTTTCCATGATCAGCATGTGAGTGGTTGCTGCGACAGAAATCAAGCTCAATTCATGGCAAGAAGTATCACTACGTGCAAAAAATTATTCTGCCTAAACACTCCACAAAATGCGAATCGAAGGCACCACAGGTCCACAACTTATCACCAACTTCAAGGTACAACCCGTCTCCAAAACACAGAGGGCTCGAGGCATTACCCAAGACTCCAAGAATTACTTTGAAATCAACGTGACCCATGTTTGCCGCCGCAAGTTCCCTCTCGCTCGAGTCTGCTCTGATGAAAAAGTGGTACAATCCACACCTGGACTCACAGTGAAGAGCAAGCAACTCCACCGAAACCTTCGTCTGCAACCGAACTCTGCTCTCTGCTGCAGGTCTACAACACTTAGCGCCAACTGCTCGACACTCGGCTTTTTATTCTTTCTTCTGTTCGCTCTCTGCACACGGCCGCAAACTTTTAAGAGCGCACGAGCAAGTGGGTGGGGGGGGGGGGATAGACTTTCATTTTCTGGGTAACGAACCAGTAGGACAGTGTAGGATAAGGATGACGTCTTCGTACCTGTCAATTTCAAAGGGACTTGCGGCATCAGATACCACTACCAGGAATCAGGATAATCACGATAGATGCCTGAGTGAACTAATAAGGAAGGAAGGAAGGGGGAGAGAGAGAGAGAGAGAGAGAGAGCGAGAGGGGATTGCACAAACTGAAAGACACAAGGCAACAACCTCAGAAGGGGAGGGAGGAGGAGGAGGGAGGAAGAAAATCATTTCCAAGAGCTCACTCAGGCGCAGTCTGGCACATTATATAATGCTCATGTATTGTATTGTGTGGTAGTGTAGTGTAGTGTATCTAGCAATCTCCCTCCCTGCCTCTGTCTGTCTGTCTGCCTCTCCCTTCCTCTCTCCTTTCCTTTGCATGCAGAGTCAGGCAGTCCCGCGTTGTTGTTGCTGTCTGTCTGTTGCCCTCCCTCACCCCCACTTCTTCACCCTGTTCTTTTTCTTTTCTTTTCTTTGCTTTGCTTTGCTCTCTGTCGATGAAATGTTATAATTATGATTATTATTCTTATTATTATTCAGTTAAGATTGACTGCAACGGCATTTTGCATGGAGGGGCTGGACGCAGCGTCGTCGTCGTCGTCGTCGTCATCATCACCGGAACTGTACACGAGATTGATCGATTGCGTGACTTGGTAGTGTAATTGATGGTCGGTCTCACAGGACACCACGACGACGACGACGACGACGCTGCAGCAGCAGTTCACTTCCCTTCCCATTCCCTTCCCTTCTCACTCTACTACTCCACAGAATTATAACAGAACAGCACAAATCTATACATATATATATATATATATATATATATTACAGTATCTCATTCATTTATTGTGGCTCATCCTTCACGAAACAACAGAAACAGCAGCAAGCAAGCATCGGAACATACTCCGAGATTGTGGTGGCAATGGCGTTAAATACTATATATAATAATATACATATGTATATATGTATGTGTATGACTGCATAAATGTATGTATACATATTGTGGCTTCCCTCAATGTTCTCCCTCAGTGAACAAGATGTTGTTTCATGGTTTCTCAATCTATTAGCATTTTTAGAAATCTTTAACACCTTTGTTAGTAGAATAGTGGCCAAAGTTTTGTTATTTACTTTTATTTCGATCTTTTTTTTTTTATTAGTGAAGACACCAATGTTGAGTTGAAATGGTCTTATGTACCATATAGGTCATATTTAGTTTTAGTTTTAGTTTTTTTTTTAACTTCTTATAATATTTTTATGTTTTTTTCTTGTTAAAATGCATGTATTTATTCAAATCTAAAACATAAAATTTAAGTATGAAAGAGTCAAGGGTTTTGCAAGAAATTTGTATATAAATATGAAACAATGAAAAAAAAATTGAGTTGTATAAAATTACATCATAATTTTTTTTTTTAAATCTTTTTAAGTGCAAATTAATTCATAATAATAAACTAGTCAACTAAGAAGAGAGATCTATGCAAGGTAAAACCCTTGCAATAATTCTTCTTTATGTTTATTTACTATCCCATAAAATAATAAACAATTATCAAACTAATATTCCAAACCAACTTACAAAATAACACATGTCATCTTCTTATCTATTATTTTAAGAACCAAAATAAATAAATAAAAACACTCCATCTAACTATAATGTAAAATACACAGGAAGCAATCAAGCAAGGAATCTAGAAGGCATGATAGTTCTCGAGTTCTAATAGAGCGTTAAATTATGACTACAGAGAAGGAACATGTGATTGTCCTTGTTGAAAGTATCTTCAGTAATATCTTCTATCAATGCAATACCAAAAAAAATACCAATCAGATTTAGAACATAAAAAATCCACTTAATTATGGAATAAATAATAATAATAATTTAAATATAAATACTTCAAAAAGAAATAAATCATACTAAAAAAAAGATAAAAAAGCTGCAAGGCATAAGAAAGAAGGAGGTGGACATGAATTAAGTGGAAATAGTAATAATAGTAGTATTAGTAATATTAGTAATAATAGTAGTATTAGTATTAGTAATAATAGTAATAATAGTAGTAATAGTGATAGTAGTAGTAATAGAAGTAATGGAAGAAGTGCTATTGTGATCATGGATTGTGTTGTCCTTGGGAGCCATTCCTTCTCATTATCCATCATTCTAGATTCCTTTCCTTGGTCTCCCCCCCCCCCACCCAATTGTTACTCCTCTTTCATGGATGGATGAGCATACTTGTTTGGATGAAAGTAAATGAATGAAATGGATGGATGGATGGATGGGTGGTGGTGGTGCATGCATATATGTTAACACACGGATGGTGCTTTGAAACCCCTCAAAGGCCACATTCCCACACTATTATTGCAAAGAGCATCTCATCACTTCTCTTCATTTGGAAGTTGGCACATACAATGAATGGGAATGCAAAGTATTAAAAATAATAACAAAGAAAAAGAAAAGGTAAAGAAAAGAAAAAAAGTACAAAATAATCTTTTTACTCTTGGATCGAAGGAAATACTGCTTTTTAAAATATAGTGGTAATTATACATATATATATATATATATATATGTTGCATATGTCTGATTAATGAAGATCAAAAGTTGTTTATCAGAATGTAAGAAATCTGTGGGAAAATAATAAAAGTAAAGATTTGAGTACATGGTGCCAATATTATCTCTCATTTGTTTAAAAAGAGCAAAATGAAATAGAAAAAAATATGATGATGGTCTTATTTTGGCATGAGAAGCTAACAATGTTTGCATTTGTGGGAAATAAAATATCACATGAGAAGAAAAAGAAAAAGAAAAAGCAACAACAACAACAAGAAGTAAGCTGATAGTTGAGTTGTTGCCAACTTTGTTTTGTGTTTTGTTGCACCATATTTATTTGTATATTTATATTATTTTTTAAAAACAAAATAAAACATTCACACAGTTGATATGTAAGGTTTTTGCACATACTCACTTCAAGCCATTGTACAAGAGCACATCATTTTCATTGGATATTTTCTTATATGTCCCATTTTATGTAATAACAACCACATTAATAATAATAATAATAATAATGTCTTACATATTTAGTGTTATTTAGTAGTAGTTGTTAATAGTTCAACCAGATTTGTACTCAATCAATTCTTTAATACATTACCTGAGTCCCGATAAGTATTCTGGAAATGAAAGTTTTCTATTAAAAGTTTACACAATTAGACTTCTCATGTGCTATCAAATTTCAGATTCAAAGTTCAGTAGAAAATATGTATTTGAATTTGAATTCAATACCTTATTATGTTTTAAATACAATTTTTGAATTACTGATGATTTATTGTTCAAAACTAAAAATAAATTATAACTTTAAAAATTACATACAATAAATCACATCTATGCCTGGGTAAAATCATCTCAATTATAAAAATTAGGTCTGAAATTTAATTTTTAAAAAATTAATATACATGTGGTCACAAAATATAGTTTTGTGAACGTTTTTATTCATTTATTTATTCTGTGGCTTGTAATCTAGACATAATAGTTTGGTAATATTGTTGAGTTTTGTCAATCTTTCTAGAACCTATTTAGCAGGGAAAAGAAAAAAATGAATTAGAAATGTAGGATCAACCAAAGGAATTATTGTATACAGTACCAAAAAACATTGTAAATATCACTATTAACTTCCTCACACAAGCATAAGAATTTTTGGCAAGTTTTTTACCCACAAAAAAACATCATATTATATTATACTACAATTTTTGAATCCAAAAAATCTCAAAATTTTCTTCTAAAAGAGTTCGAAAGAGTTTGTTTACCAGGATTTATTAATCATTAAGGTTCTAATATAAATCAATATAATACTAAAACCTTAACACACACACACACACACACATACATATATATATATATATATATATGCACATTCAAACACACATCATATTTGAGATTGCATGGCTGTAAAATTTGTGCTTGTTAACTCACTTCAATTGCAAAATACATTGCAAACTTATTAATTAGAATAAATCAACAAGTAACAGTCCCATGTCAATTTATCAAAGATATTCAACACTGGCATGTTTGAAGGCTCAAGGCGAAACAAAGAAAACAAAAATAGAAACCTCACTTCTACAAGATTTGCAGCCCAAAGCATTTCCCACAGTACACGCAATTACCAATTTTGTAGTGACACTTTCGGCAACTAAAATGGGGGTTTTGAAGGCAAAAACAATGGAAACTGACCCTCTTTCTTCTTCTTAAACCCACACATGGGTTTTCACACAATCAATCCACGCGAGTTGCCTGGAAGAAGAAGAGACAGGAGCAGACCAAGGTGTGTGGTTTCATAGTGCAAAGGGGCTGCTCAACCCTGTAAAATAAAAGCTCTGGAGGAAGAGGAGTTATGCAAAATGGAGCAACAACAACTACAACAACAGTATTGCATGAAGTGGGTACTTCTGCTTCTTCTTCTTCTTCTGGACTGTGAGGAGGAAGCAGACTTGTTGTTGTTGTCCTTCAAAGATGGCGCTCACATCAGAACCTCCTGGCCTTCTATAGCCCTCTCCATCACTTCCGGGCACCATCTGTATTGAGAAGGGACCAGAGCTGCACATGAGTGAGAGCACCATCACTGAGGAGGAAAGCTGCGGAGTGAGTGTTCATGCTTCTGGCTTGAATGCTTCGTATTGCTCATGAAAATCTGGGTGTGTTTGTCAGGAAATCTGCGTGTGTGGGGAAGTGTTTTCTCTTCACACAGAGAGAGAGCCACGACACAGTTTAATCTACGTTGGGTTGGTTGGATTCAGGTAGAAAAAGATGCAGGAGTTTTAGGCTTGACTGTAGCTAAAAAGGTCTCTCAGGGTTTTTTAACTAGGGTCAATTTCCGAGCACTGTTGTGTGTGGGTGTGTGTGTTTTTTGTGCATTGCCATCGCGGAGGTCCATGACTGTTGACCTCCAATGCGACAGCACATACACCTGGTCTGCTCTTTTTCTAACTAATGAATTGGATTGGGACCACAGCATGTCTATCTCACGTGAATATGCTTAAGTCCTGGAATTACGCTTCAACTGGTGTCAACAGACAGTTGTTCACGGCATCTCTGGTAGCGCCTTTGGAGTTTTTTTTTTTGCTGCAAATCTCGGTCGCCCACGTCGTTCGAAGGACATACGTGAGGATGACAACCTGTGCTCCGCATTTTGGACACCGCTCGTGGAGGTCCTTTCACCTGCAACGGCAACAGATTGTGGCAGTGTGGACATTTCGGTGGATCTTTTTAAACTTTGGATTGCAGCATTGGGGAAATGTAGGTCATTTACATCAAAGGTTGGAATATGATGTGCGTGCAAGGCAATGGGGCTGTCAGCTCTGGCTTGAAGGTGATCTTCACAGAGCGACCTAGTTGGGACGGTGATGGCGTTTCGCG